GTCCGATAGGCATAGCTTGGGCTGGAACCTACTCATCAAACTCTACCTGAGGCTCCATAGTTGGTCTCGAGCTCTGGGCTGAGCTCTGCCCCTGCCTCGGCCTTTGACACGACCTCGACCTCGACCTCTGCCCCTCGTAGGAGTTGCTACTGGGGATCTGGCTGCTGCTCAATTGAAGATGCGGTATGCATTCTCACCATCTACGAGAGAACAGAATAGAAGGGTCTAATCAGCAATGATAGAATAAAATCTCACGACAGAGAAGAATAGAAGTGAAATTGTTCCTAACTCCATAGCCTCCGGAAGATAAGACCAGACGTCTTCGTACCGATCCTCCAGACTCTACTATGTTTGCTCGTGACTCGTGTGACCTATGTAACCTAGTGCTCTGATACAAATTTGTCACGACCTGAAATTTCCACCGTCGGGACCGTGATGGCGCCTAACATTTCACTTGCTAGGCAAACTAACGTTAGAATAATTTATCCTTTTTAACAATTTAAATTTAATTAATGAAGGAGAACTGATTTAAATGCAATAATCCAAATATAAATACGGAAGCTAAAACTGTAAAAAAAAAATCTGTTACAAATCTCTGAACCTGGTGTCATAAGTGCATGAGCTTCTACAGTAATACATACAAGGGTCTAAAATAAATACAAAATTGTCTGAATGAAAATACACAGCTAAATAAAAATAGAGACGGGACTTCAGGAGCTGCGGGCGCTGAGCAGCTGTACCTTTAGCTGTGGGTCAAACATTTAAAATTCATTAAGCCTTTAGCTTTCATATTTCAACAAAGTCCGATATCTCGGGCTAGGGACTTTTGAATTAGATTCCGGGCATACGCCCAAGTCCCAAATTACGATACAGACCCACCAGGACCGTCAAAATACGAATCCAGGTCCGTTTGCTCAAAGTGTTGACCAAAGTCAACTCAATTGGTTTTCAAAGCAAAATTTTATATTTTTCACAGGTTTTATCATAAAAGCTTTTCGAAAATACGCCCGGACTGCGCACGCAAATCGATGAGGGTAAAAATGAGATTTTTTAAGGCTTTGGATCACAGAATTAGGTTTTAAAACATAAGATGACCTATCGGGTCATCACATAACTTTACACAATCTCGTAATTTAAAAGATACTTTTATGTGTTTACCCTTAAAATAAGTAACAATTAAATTTGTACGCGGTTTAAAGGATAGGTGATTTAATTTAGCACAAATAATCTAAGAACAATAAATAATTGAGCTAAAGAGAAATAAAACGGTCAAACTAAATGTGATGGAACAATTAAGCCTGACTTTAAGTTGAACACTGAAACTGGCTCCGATCAAGTCCTCGAGATGGACTCGGTTGCAACTAAAGAAAAGGTAAAAATAGCATGGGCTAGCTAATTTTTGGACTGGTAATTAAAAAATAGCCAGCGTTTGCAACGTCATTAAAAAATAGCCACTATTTTGCCACAACACGGAAAGTTCCAGCATAATATACTGGAGATTGGTGCACCTGTGTATGAACTTCTAGCATATTATGCTGGAACTCTAGCACAATGAAGGTTCCAGCATAATATACTGGAGATTGAAGCACCTGTGTATGAACTTCTAGCATATTATGCTGGAACTCTAGCACAATGAAGGTTCCAGCATAATATACTGGAGATTGAAGCACCTGTGTATGAACTTCCAGCATATTATGCTGGACCAATATATTTTGCTCGAATTCCAGTATATTTATACTGGAACTCCATCATAATATACTGAAGTTCCAACATAATATACTGGAACTCCATCATAATATACTGAAGTTCCAACATAATATACTTGAGTTCCAACATAATATACTGGAACTCCAGTATATCATGCTGGAAGTTCACATGTAAAAAATTCGAACTCCAGTATATTATGCTGGAATATTTTCCGAATTTTGAACAGTGTTTTTGTTCAGATTTATCTTTACATAAAAAGTGGCTAAATTTCGATTACTTTTGAAACTGTGACTATTTTTCAGTTACCACTTGTAAATCTGGATATTTTTGAATTTCACCCAAAGAAAAGAGTAGCTGAAGAACACTTTGAACAATTGCTAGAAAACCAAAATAAACTTTATTGCTTTGATATGCATGCCAACAGTGGTTAAAAAATGAAATGCTTCTCCCCTTTATAGTAGGGGAGTTTCAATCCTAGTATAAATCTAAATAAAGTAGAAATTCTTCTCTTCTAGTAAATTATGATCTGTAGTTGATATCGGGCGAGATTTGTGCCGTAATATCCGGTTGATGGCAGATATTCCGGCCCCTCATTTGTCCTCTCTAACCGTCTTCCCTTTAGCCTCGATTCCTTATTTTACTCGAGCTCGATTCTTCTCATGTTTGGTCATGTCCGAATTTTGATGCGTCATTTGTCCTCGGGCTCTGATCTGGGGAGCCATCGACTTTACTCGAGACTGCGATGAACCACGTCGTCTCCTGTTTCGTCATCGAAAAATCGGGGGTAATATTATCCCTAATTTTACCCATACACAATATGTAACTTTATTTATCAAGGTTGAATGGCAACTTAGAATCATTGATAAGTAATGAGTAATAACATATTAAATTATGCTGATGGTGTAAAAAATTATTATATTATTAATGTGTATAATATAAATCCATTTTATTATTGATGGTCCACTGAAGACGGGTAGTTAGATACAATGTTTTGTAATTTTTTTTTCTCATTTTTTTTCTTCCGAAAATCTTCAAAAACGTAGATTCATGAAATCCATGTTATAGATAGAACACCTATTTTGACTGTAGGATGGTATATAGGTGTTCATAACATGCAACGGAGGACAATAACAATCCTAGGCAGATTGTTTCGTGTTTAAAATTTATTTATAAGTCAAAGATCGGATATAAGACGTATCTGGTGAAGAGAGTCTCGTTTTAAATATTATTCGATAGTGTGAAGACTCTATGCGTATCAACACCGAGACCGATCTTGCTATCAACTCTTTGATCAATGAAACCCGCGAACAAATTTAATAAAAATATTGTGTTGAAATGTTCCTCAAAAATCTCAACTCAAAGGTAAAAGATATTTTCTTGTAATTGTATTTTCTCTCTTGGCTTTGTATTGCACTCTCACTTTCACAAAGTGGTATTTCTTCTCAAGATTTATTACGGAAAGTTTTCTCCATCACCCTATATATAGCATCACCTATAAATCCTTTTCCTATTTGGTTGAGGTAATTAATTACTTAGGGTAAAAGTTTATTCCAAAATAAACTTCATGGAATTTTGTGTGGAAAATTCGTAATCCCATTCTCAATGGGTTTTCCCGTGGCTGTCGATCATGGACTTTCCATCACATCCAATTCCAAGCATTGGAATTTTCCTATTAAAACATGAAACCAAAGTTTTTGTTGTTAGACATCCTTTTATGGACTTTTATTTCATGTCGGCAACAACAACAACAACAACAAACCCAGTTTGATCCCATAAATGGGGTCTGTGGAGGGTAGTGTGTACGCAGACCTTACCCCTACCTCATAGAGATAGAGAGGCTGATTCTGATAGACCCTCGGCTCAAGAAACAATAAAAATAAAGCACCAAGTAGCAAAGAATATTAGCAACAATGTAACATAGTAACGTGTGCGAATGCCTCAATATGCGTAATAAAGAACCGTAAATTGGAAATTAAAAAAATAGTCCTACTACTATTGAATGGCCTAGGAGGAACACACTACTATCTGTCAACCTACAACCTTAATTCTCGACCTCCATACCTTCCTATCGTGGGTCATGTCCTCGGTAAGCTGAAGCAATGACATGTCCTGCCTAATTACCTCTCCCCAATACTTCTTAGGCCTACCCCTTCCCTTCCTCAGACCCGCCACGGACAACCTTTCACACCTCCTCACTAGAGCATCCATGTCTCTCCTCCTCACATGTCCGAACCACCTCAGCCTTGATTCCCGCAACTTGTCCTCCACAGATGTCACACCTACCTTGGCACTAATAACTTCATTCCTAATCATGTCTTTCCTAGTATGCCTACCCATCCATCTCAACATCCTCATTTCGGCTGCTTTCATCATTTGGAAATGGGACTTCTTGACGTACCAACACTCAACTCTATACAACATAGTCAGTCTAACGACCACTCTGTAGAACTTGCCCTTAAGTCCAGGTGGCACATTCTTATCACAAAACCCCCAATGCGAGCCTCCATCTCATCCACCCCGCTCAAATACGATGGGTAACATACTCGTCAATCTCCCCATTGCCTTGAATAATAGACCCAAGATATTTGAAACTGTCTCTTCTAGGGATGACCTGAGTACCAATCCTTACTTCCATTTCTTCTTCATGCATCCCCTCACTGAACTTGCACTCCAAGTACTCAGTTTTTGACCTACTCAACTTGAAACCTTTAGACTCCAGCGTTTGTCTCCAAACTTCCAATTTAGCATTAACTCCGCCTCGCGTCTCGTCAATCAGGACTATGTCATCAGCAAATAGCATACACCATGGCACCTCCCCTTGTATGTAACGCGTCAGCGTATCTAATTCTAAAGCAAACAAAAATGGGCTAAGAGCCGATCCTTGGTGTAACCCTATCTCCACTAGAAAATAATCCGAGTCTCCTCCCGCAGTGCTCATCCGAGTCTTCGCTCCCTCGTATATGTCCTTAATCGCCCTAATATATGCCACTGGGACACCATTAGCCTCCAAACATCTCCATAGGACCTCTCACGGGAATGTATCATAGGCCTTCACTAGGTCAATGAATACCCAATGCAAGTCTTTCTTCCTCTCCCTGTACTGCTCCACTAATCTTCTCACAAGGTGAATGGCTTTTGTCGTCAACCATCCTGGCATAAATCCGAACTGGTTCTCGGAAACAGTAACACTCCATCGCACCCTCATCTCCACCACACTCTCTCATACTTTCATAGTATGACTTAGCAGTTTGATACCCCTATAGTTGTTACAATCCTGGATATCACCTTTGTTTTTATACAATGGGATCATCAAACTCCGCCGCCAATCTTCTGGTATCTTCTTCATCCTGAAAATGACATTAAACAGACTAGTAAGCAACTCCAAGCCTGCCCGACCCACTACCTTCCAAAATTCCACTAGGATCTCATCTGGCCGAGTAGTCTTACCCCTGCTCATCTTCCGCATTGCCCCTCCACCTCTACGCTCCTAATACGGCTACAAAACCCAAAATCCCTCTGACTCTATGAATCCTCCAACTCACCTAGGACGATGTTCATGTCCCCTTCCTTGTTCAAGAGCCTATGGAAGTACTCCTACCCTCTATGCCTGATACATGCCTCTTCCACCAGAACCTTACCATGTTCGTCTTTGATGCACCGTACTTGGTCCAAGTCCCGAGCCTTCCTCTCCCTAATCTTGCCTAACCTGAACAACTTCTTGTCGCCTCCTTTGCCCCCAAGATCCTCGTACAATCGCTTGAAAGCTGCAGTCTTAGCCGTCGTGACTGCTAATTTTGCCTCTTTCCTTGCCTTCTTATAACACTCCCTACACGTCTTCTTCTCCTCCTCGTCTGTTCTCACCACTAAATTAAGATATGCCACTTTCTTAGCTTCCACTTTTCCTTGAACCTCCTCATTCCACCACCGGTCTCCTTTGTGGCCTCCTAAATAATCCTTCGTTGCCCCTAACACCTCTCTAGCAGCCTCTCTGATGCAGTTCGCTGTCGTGGGCCACATGTTACTCGCGTCCCACTACTCCTCCAGGCCCCCATGTGCAACAACTTCTCCCCTAACTTTTGAGCATTAACCTTAGTCAACGCTCCCCACTTAATCTTCGGCTGGTCATACCCCGCTCTCTTCTTCCTTGTTATCCTGAACTCCAAGTCCATTACCAAAAGCCTATGCTGCGTCGATAGACACTCACTTGGTATAACCTTGCAATCAGTGCAAAGGCCCCTATCACTCCTCCTAAGGAAAAGATAGTCAATCTGAGTACTGGCTACCTTACTCCGGAAGGTGACCAAGTGATCCTCCCTTTTCTGGAAACAAGAATTATCTAGCACCAAGTCAAAAGTTTTAGCAAAATCCAACAGAGAAGTACCACCGTCATTCCTAACTCCGAATCCAAACCCGCTATGCACGTCGTCATAACCCGTGGCAGTCACCCCAATATGGTCTTTTATTTCATGTCGGCAAAACACCTTAAAACCTCTCTATACTTGGCACACATTATTAGTTACTTCTTTGAACTATCTATGGTTTTAATTACCCCCTATACTTGGTTATCCGATAGCTGTTACCTCCTTGGACGATCTCATACCAGGAAAGTGGCATGCACTCGCATGTCACCTGGATTTTTTTTGTCTATGTGGTATTTTTTTGAAAAATAAAATATAGTTTTACCTTTTTAAGTATGTTACTTTTTTAGATAATTTTTTTGAATAAAATTTATAATAAAACTTGGATAGAACTACATTATTTAGGCTAATCTTTTTTATTTGGCTAAAAATAATAAAGTTTTAGTTATTCTTTTTGCATTTGACCTTAAAATAAATATTTATACAATTGAAATAAATAGTCAAGGCATCTAAAAAGTTATAAAAAATACATAGTTTGAAATTTATTACTTTGGCTATAATCTTTTCTATAGCTCTAAATTATGGTGCTGTAACTTTTTTTTTTTTTTTTTTTTTTTTTTTTTTTTTTTTTTTTTACAGATTTTACCTGAAAAAGTAAAAATATATAGTTAAAATAAATAGTCATTGCATCAAAAGAAGAAATAAAAAGAGTGTACAATTGAAAGTTCATTATTTTGGTTATACTTTTTTTATTTGGTTAAAAATAATGGAGCTATGGCCAATTTGTTTTTTATTGGATTGACTCGAAAATAAAAATACACAATTAAAATAAATAGACATTATATATAAAGAAAAAAAACAGGAAATATACACAACTGGTACTCCATTATGTTTGCTAAAAGTTTTTTATTTGGCTAAAATGATGGAGTTCCTACCAAATATTTTACAAATTCGCCGAAAAACAAAAAAAAAGAAATATGCAGTTGGAACAACTAGACATTATATCTTAGAAGAAATTAAAAATAATAGAAGTTAGAGTAAAATCCACATTGTATGTTAAGATGAAGCAAGAAGAAATACATAGTTGTAACAAATAAATCATTATATATGATTATATGACAATTAAAAGTTAAAAAATAACCTATTTGGAAGTTGATTTTTCAATTTTTCTTCACTCCCATGTGCATAAAAGAGAGTGCACCCACACTCTTTGCTTCACTCCCACGTGCATAAAAGAGAGTGCACCCACACTCTTTGCCATATTAGAGTCCAGGGGGTAATGGCCCTCCAAAGGCCAAGTTGAGGGGTGTAATTAAGATCACGAATAATTTAGGGCTGTAACTAATAATCCGTGCCAAGTTTAAGGGTTTCTTTAGGTATTCTGCCTTTCATGTCCCAATGAAACCGTAGAAATCCCTTTATGGAATTTCATGTCGATTCAAAATTGGATTTTAGAATAAATTAATATTAAAAATATAACTTTTATATATAAATATTTATTACGAGTACATATATTTCAACTACGATATATAATTTAATTTTCTATTCCAAATAGAAAACTTTAATTTGATCACAGTATTAATTATATCCTCTGTGCTAGCAAAGAATATAACAATATTCCATTTGAACAAATAATTTGATTTATTTGACTAATTAAATTCTTTAATTTAATTACCAAACAATAAAATAATTAATCCTTTAGAAAAGATCAGAACACTCGTTAGTGTGCGACCCCATAGGTTCAATACTAAGCCGCCGGTAGTAAATTGATCACATCAATATACTAATCATGGGTGACATCTAGCAACACTCCTTAACGGACGGATAGAATGAAATATACAATTTAGTCTCAAGAACCGATAGAAGAATAATGTAGTAATTCCTTCTGTCCTTATAGCTCTGGGTCACCCTAGGATATGGTTCAACTGTCAAATACTAATAGGCGACCAACTATGTGTTCATGTCAAATATAATCGACCATTGAATGACCTAAGAAACTCTTTTCTTCTCTTATTCAATTGCCCTGGCCAAGGTCTTAGTTTGGTCATTTATAATCGATGACAACATGGAGCTTAAACGTATTACCAAGAATTGACATATTCCATTTTGACCAATCACTAATTCTACAAATATTTAATCATACCCAATATCCTTCCAACTATCGCCCTAGGGTCATAGGTGTCTAGTATCAAAGCACAATAAATAACTTGTCAATTACTATGACGATCTCAGGTCAAAGGAAACTCTTACATCACATTCTTCAAGAGAATATCCTATTGACATTTTATGGTAATTCTAACCATTAGTAATTATCCAATGAGTCGGTTTAATGATCATATCTCTATATGTATCATCTATCTATGTGATTTAGTTAATGAGGTCAACTAAGCTTTATCCAAGAGAGACGATCACATAAATATTGATCTAACCGGATTACTAATGTCCAAATTAATAATCCTATTATCAAGAACAAATTTAGATTAAATTATAAGAAACTCCACTCTCATTATCATGATCTCCATCACAATATCAAGTCTCAAAATTTAATCAAGGACCTTATCAAGTTAATCAAAAAATTAATAATATCTGTGATAACAAAAATATCAGATGCCATATATTTTATATCAAATAATGTTTACAAAAATATGTTCAAATCATCAAATATGAGAGTGGATCTAGGGTATATCTACTATATCCCTAACAATCTCCCACTTACACTAGAGTCAATCGCTCTTGTACTTCTTTCCCAATTTCTACTTGTGCTTGTCAAACTTCTTTGCACCAAGAGCTTTAGTGAATGGGCCTGGAGCATTTTCCTTTCCATCAACCTTTTGAATCTAGACGTCTCTATGTTCAATGATTTCTCTTATCAAGTGATACCTTCGCAAAATGTGTTTGGATTTTCGGTGTGATCTTGGTTCTTTTGCTTGAGCAATGGTTCCAGTATTGTCACACAACAATGGAAATGTACCTTCTATTAAAGGAACCACACCAAGTTCAGTTAAGAATATTTTCATCCATACCACTTCCTTAGCAGCTTCACTAGCTGCTATATATTCTACTAAAGTCATTGAATCAACTACTGTAGCTTGTTTGGAACCTTTCCAACTTACTGTACCACCTTTTAAGGTGAATATATAACCAGAAATAGATTTTCTATCATCTTTATCTGAAGAGAAACTTACATCCGTATAACCTTCAAGTTTCAACTTAGAATCCCCATAAATAAGGAGTTGGTATTTAGTCCTTCTTAAGTACTTAAGAATGGTCTTTACCACCTTCCATGTTCCTCACCAGGATTTGCCTGATATCAGCTAGCCACTCCTAGTGCATAAGCCACATCAGGACGTGTACATGTCATGGTATACATGATAACTCCCACTACACTAGCGTATGTGATCCTACTCATGCGTTCTCTCTCTTCAGGTGCTTTAGGACAATCCTCCCTACTGAGAGTAATTCCAGTGCCTATCGGAAGATAGCCTCTTTTGGAGTTATCCATGTTATACCTCTTTAAGATGGTATCAATGTACAAAGACTGGAAAAGTCCAAGCAGCTTCCTTGATCTATCTCTATAGATCTTTATTACCAATATATAAATTGCTTCTCCCAAGTCTTTGATGGAGAACTGTTCATATAGCAAAATCTTGGCACTTTGCAATGCTGTTATATCATTCCATATGAGTAATATATTATCAACATACAGTAATAAGAATATAATTCCCACTAACCTTTTTGTACACACAAGGTTCTTCTTCACATCTAACAAAATTAAACTTTTAGATTTTTTTTGTTAAAGCGAATATCAATTTCGAGAAGATTGATTTAGTCCATAAATGGGTCTTTGTAGCTTGCAAATCTTATTATGATCAGGCGGGGATGTGAAACCTTCAGGTTGTGTATTTTCTTTGGGCTATTGTCGTCACCTTGTGGAAGGTCATTCTGTTGTTTCAGCTCAGTATCAGTATTACCTAAGGTTTTGAGACTTGGAATTAATTGTTATGACGATTCGCGTGTTGCTATCGCATAGTATTGGTGTAATGGTAGGATGCTTGTCTATGTGTCGAAGCAGTGAATGACTTGGAAGGAGGTTTACTCAGTGCATGATTCAGAGATTCAATATTTTATTTTCGGCAAAGGAAAGGCAATGGGAATATGAATGTTCAGGTTTGGATTGACGGAGTAACGAGACTTGGTATTTCGAGCATGGTGGAAATTTTCATCTGTGATATGGTGTCATCGCCCTGGATTGAATGTGTTAAGTTCGCTGGTGTTATAGTCTTCATCGATTTGCCTTCGGGTAGGGTGGTGTGCAACAATGCAGGGGAAGCGGCTATCAGAGATCATAGTGTGCGGTGGTTTAGGACTTAATCGGTGGTTCAGGTGTTGAGGGCTCAAGGAAGATGATCTTCGGAAAGGTTTAAAGTTGGTAGCGATCGATTGGTTCAAGTGCTACAGAGGTAGATTTTGATTTAAAGCAACAACTGGGCAGCGAAGGATGAGGAAAAACATGTGGGAGGTGTCTCGCGATGGTTAAACTTCTAAAAGGCCAAGTGTAAGGAAACAAAAGTCGAGTAGTTGCTTAAAGGAGATGGTTTGATCAAAGTGGGAGAGTGGCAAAGTATCAGATGGGTTCTGTGATAGGATAGCTACACGCCT